CAAGAATATGTACATGACGACCACTACTTAGCCTCTCCTTCGTCAGGGACCATTCTAGTATAGGACCTTTCAGCTTCCAATTGGTCCTTCCTCAGTTTTTCTGCTCGGTTGGCTCTCACTCGACGATTATGACTTCTATCTTGAACCGCGCGAAGCCACCTGTAAACACTGTCACCAATCCAGATACAAGCCAAAATTGTAAAACAAACTGCGAAAACTAAGCAAAAGAATAAACAACTAATATGTCAACAACTGGAACCGAAGACTTTAATTACCTGTACTCTTCACGTATTTCATTAGGATTTCTTCCAGCCATATCTTCCACCTTTCTCTTCCATGCCTCATCTATATCTCCTTTGAGCTTCCTGGCGAGCTCATACATCTGCAAAACATGACCATAACCATACATGACCATGACCAAATGCCCATTGAAGACATTGTCCAGGTCAAATGGGGGGTATTGAGGTCTTAACGCAATGTAGAGCACTGCTTCTGACTAACGCAACAATCCAAGTCTGATCGAAAAAGGTGGACTCTGTAATGAGAAAACTGCTACAATTGCTTCAGAGGAAAGGCGCGGTACTACTAATCCCGCCCCTTTTGACAAGATCTGACGTGGTGAATACGCTAGATCCACTTTATTGGCTACATGAAAACTTGTCAAGGAGGCGGGTTTGGACAGCCCCTTTTTCTCAAAGCAATTTTCTCGCTTCAGAGTCCGCCTTTTTCAATCGGACTGAAACTTCTGCGTTGGTTAAGACCAGGGCTCCGACACTGCATCAAGGTCCCAACACCCTCCAATTGCCCTGGACAATGCCTTTAACTAAGAAGGAAGTGGAACCGTTGATTATAGCTTACATATGGAATGCTCGGTGAGGCTGACTTACAAGGCAGTGGCCCAAAGGTTGCGAAATTTTCAGAAAATATCTAGCGGCTTAAAAAAGTGTGCAAGTAACTTGTTATGACTCAATTACCAAAAGGTCTTGTATTTTTCAAAGAATCACATTAGCTTCACGCAAAAAAATCTGGAAGCGTAACTGCCTCCCTTCTTTCCATCTCAAAGTTATAGGATCAACTGATGCCAAAATAAATTCCAAGGAATTTTCAGAGTCGAGGCTAACTGCAGTGCTTGGATCTCCTATGGTATAAACATGCGCTTACCTCCACCGTATCCAAATCTTTGTCACGGAATTCACGCTGCCTCATGAATGACTTCGCTATCTCTTGCTCGTCTATCAGCTTGGAAAGCCTACGTTCCTGATTCCTTAGTTGGATTCTGCAAATTTGATAGTAATCAGAACTGAGGAATCGAGTAAACTAATACTCACAAATAGCCCACATTGTACAAAACAACCAGGGTAATCGCAAACGCCGACCATTTCAAGATGAAACCCCACTCCTGTTGTGAACGCGATTGGAAAGGCGAATCAGAAGCGCCTCCAGCAGCGCCGGGTTTGGCACCCCAATAGCGAGCCCATTCTCTGGAAAAATGCCAGTAAGTGAGAGGATAGACTTCGGGCGCAAAGTGCACAACCATATCATAATGGATGTGTTGACTTGAACTACTCTATCAACTGGAGCCATTATTCAAACAATAATGGGAAGCAACACATACAGAATAGGAAAAGTCAATAAAAAGAGATATGGTAAAGTGGTAGAATGAATAAATGTCAGCAATAATCACCTATCTTTATCCCTTTGATGATAGTACTGATAGTAATGCCGATGGTAGTAAGGATCCGTTGTATTACTGTGAGATTCATGGGCTCCCATGTCGTATGCACGCCTATCCGCTGGTCGCCGCAAATTGTCATAAGCTTCTTTGAGTTCCACGAATTCAGCTGTGGAGTTGCCATTACCTTTATTATCCGGGTGTAGCTGTAAACACAACTTAGTCTAAGGGACCCGTCATACTTCGCCGAAAAAAAGCCCAAAAGCG